CACACCCTCACCCACAGGGTGATTATGTGACTGTGTTAGCTTGCCTGGCAAAACAGACTCTGTAGATGTGATTAAATTAAGGATCTTGAATGGGAAGATTATGGTGGGTTCTGTGGATGGGACCATTGTAATCACAAGGGTCTTATAAGAGGAAGGCAAGAGGGTATGGGAGACAGAGAAGGTGATAAGACAGAAATTTGAACTTTCTAGGCTGCTGGATTTGAAGACAGAGGACGGGCCATGAACCAAGTAATGCAGGTGGCCTCTAGCAGCTGGAAGAGACTTATCTTACGTCTAGAACTGTAATAGGATAAATTTGTGCTGCTTTAAACCACTGCAGTTGTGGTAATGTGTCATAGCAGCAATAGGAAACAAATGCAGAGATGCAGTAGATTTACTGAATAAACTAAAAAATTCCTAAATCAAAAATTAGAATTTAATATCTGATAAAAGCAATTTAGCAAAGCAGTGTGTGTGTGTGTGTGTGTGTGTGTGATGAATTATTCAATAATGGACAACTGGATAGTTAATAATAAAAGTAATAAAGCTGGATCCCTATCACTTTATACCAGAATTATTTTCAGATGGGTCAAGATTAAGTATTTAAAAGATCATCTAAAAATACTAGAAGAAATACGTTTGTTTTTTTTTTATTGAGAAAGATATAAAACCCAGAAATGATGAGGAAGAAGTGGATGATAGTAACTTACACATAGTTGGTGGATGCAATTGGTAGTTGATTTGGCAACATTTATCAAAATTAAACGTGCCCATACACTTCAACCCAGCAACTGCCTTTACAGGAATTTATCTTAGATACATTCTTAGTCATGTACAAAGCTTTATGATGAAAATGTTCTTTACAGGCATTGCATGTAATGGCAAAGAACTGGAAATTGCCTAAATGCTCATTTATTATAGAAGATTAAATATATTATGGTACAACCCTTAGAAAGTATGACACATATGTGCTCTGTAAAGGAGATTTGTAAGTGAAATATAGTATATGTGGTATAATCCCTTGTATGTAGTGAAAAAATACATTTATTTTACATAGGATAAAAGTCTGGAGGTATATATAAGAAGTTGCTAATAGTGCTTACCTTTTGGGGAGTGAAACTGGGAGTAAGAAGAAGTCTTTGATTTTAAAATTTTTACATTTTTCTGTATAATTCTTGATTCCAGGGATTGCTAATTTGGGTCTTCTGCTGCTACAGGAAGGAAGGAAGGCAGGAAGGCAGGAAGGCAGGAAGGCAGGAAGGCAGGAAGGAAGGGAAGGAAGGAAGGAAGGAAGGAAGGAAGGAAGGAAGGAAGGAAGGAAGGAAGGAAGGAAGGAAGGAAGGAAGGAAGGAAGGAAGGAAGGAAGGAAGGAAGGAAGGAAGGAAGGAAGGAATTGTTAGCAAATGAAGAGGGCAAGAAGAGCGAGGGGCCATGTTGACAGAGTGAGCAAATCTGGGCCAACTGCACCAGAAGATATATACTAGCTAATTAAAATATATATATATGTGTGTGTGTAAATACATATATACTAGTAAGTATATACTGGTATAAATTGGCTCAACGATTAGAGGAAGCCTAAGCCACAGAATTCTGAACTTGTTGGGAAAATGTATGACACCTGTTTAAAGGTATAAACTGTTTACATTTGTTTGCTTTACTTTGCTTTAAGTTATGCCTGAAGATTCCAGACAGGTACAAAGATAAATTTCCCCCTTAATTGTGCAGCTAAGGCAGATGGATATCTAATTAAAGTCATGTGTCAGAGAGGTGTTTGAAAGGCTGTGTACCTTGTACATACCACCTCACCAGTTTAGGAAAAAAATTCAAGTCACTTTAAGTCATGTGTTTTTTAATGTTAAAATTCACAACACTCTAAGTTCTAGCAAGGTGAGACCAGCTTTCCCTTGGGGGTCTTCTCCCTAGATATCCCCAGTAACCCAAGGGTTAGTCATTTCTTCCAAAGGATCCTCCCAAGTTGCTGATGGGGGTGGGGGCATGGGGAATGGGGCTGGTCAGTCAGCCACTGTGCCTGGTCAAAGCTGCCTTTGCTGCCTGTGGCTGCCAGAATTCACTGCCAAGGCCCAGGAAGCCTGGGTAGAAAACAAATGTCTATTCCCTCTTGGCTGTAGCTACCCAGGGTTAGGAAAGGTCCTAATGTCAACCACACAGTGTAGAAACACCAGCCTTTCCCTGCCAACATCCTACAAGTGTGGACACAACCTTGCTCTTATTCTCCCAAAGCATAGCCAGAGGCAGGCTGCAGACAGGGGGAAAAAGTTCAGTCAGTAGCAGTGTTTGCCAATATCTAGTAGTGTTTGAGGCCACTTAAGAAAAAAAAAAGTCTTGCTCACTCTTGAATGTGAAATTAAACTATTTAAATTATGTTTCCTATTTAAGTGTAAACATAAGATATGTATAAAGTCCTTATTTTCACAGCAATTGTACTTCTATAAAACTAAAAAATATTGCAAATTAAATTGACAAATTAAAAAATTCAATTAACATTATTATGTAATGTAGTTGATGATGTTGTTTTGCTGAAATTAAATCTTCCTTTGCAATGAAAATATGGAACTCACTGCTATTGTACAGGCTTTTAAAAGCATGCTCATAATCAACTTAGTTATCCCAATTTTCTTCTCTGTTTGAATTTCTGTGAAACTTTTGTACAATGTGCCATGAGGACACTTGACCTTCACTTAGCCAGAGCACTTGTCATCTCCACAAGAATATTCTTTTCTCATTAGCTCAAGGAAATTAAAGTTATAGTTTTTGGTGCCAAATACAAAATCAAGTGGCAGTATTTGACTGATTATAAGGTGGTCATCAAAATGATCCAGAATAGGCATACATTAATTTTTAAAATTATAATTTAAAATAAGAGCAAAATTTACATAGATGATTTGCAATAGATATAATTTCATTTATATAAAATGTCCAGAGTAAGCAAGTCCATAGAGACAAAAGGTAAATTAGTGGTTGTCAGGAGCTAGGCGGTGGCGGGGATGGAGAATGACAGCTAAGAGGTATGGATTTCATTTTCCCGATGAAAATGTTCTGGAAATAGGTATGGTGGTGGCTGCACAACTTTGTAAATATACTATAAAGCATTGAGTGATACACTTGAAATGGGTGAATTTTTACTTGTGAATTATACCTCAAGTTTTAAAAGCTGACTTCACAGTTTTCCTAAAGAATAGGAAACGGATATGAGAATTACATTTATTTATCTAAACGGTTCACCCTGTGGAGTTTCCCAAAACAAAGGTTGTTGAGACTACAGCTCTATTTATATTATAACTCAGATTCACATTTGTATAAAAGGTCACAGTGATTTAGGGGTGGGGGTGGGAGGAATGGGCTGGAGAGGGAAGGTCTGCAGATGGAAGATTAGTTGGGGGGCTAGCTACAAGGCTCTACAAGGCATCAACAAGGACATATCTAGACCAGACCAGGACCACCCAGAGACACAGCAACCAACCTCAGAAAGAGCCTGCTCTGTCCCAGGTACCTTCCTGAAACCCCACCAATTAGAGATTTAAGCATATCATTATGTCAACAAATATTTTTGGCATCCGGCAGTGTCATCAGGCATTATAGGGGATAGAAAGATAACTAAGACAAGGTCCTTGCCCTCAAGTATCTTACTATGTAGTAATGGAGATGAGTCACACAGAGATAAGTATCATGTGCACCACAAGAAAAAGGAGGTACAAACCTAGAACTGTCAATGTGAAAGGAGGAAGAAATTGCTTTTTGCTTCTGCTGGAAGTCCTATGTAACCTGATGATTTCATGTTGACAGGTGGAGATGAAGTGAAAAGCATTTTAGTGGAGGGAATAGTATGAACAAAGGTATAGAAAACAGAGCGAGAGCAAGAAAAGCATATTTAAGGAAGAATGAATGAGCGCAGGCTGGAACTAAGCTCTGGGAAGGAAAGTGAGAAAAGATAAAGCAGGAAAAATATGGACTGACAAGTTGTCTTTTTAAAATGGAAAAACTGAAGGGAGGTGCGAGGGAGAAGAGGGTCAATAGTAATCACTGTCTTTCACAGATTTGTATCAATTTGCACGATTTTATCTTGAGAAAACCACAGCTGATTACTAAACAGGCATTGTGTTGGCTTTGAAGGAGCGTGTTGAAAGAATGCTTGTAGGAAGGCTAGCTCTGGTGAGGAGCTGAAGCTAAGAGCAGGACGAGCAAAAGGCGACAGGCTACCGACAAGTGCACTGACAAAAGAAATGAATGCAAAGAAGTGTGAAGGTTCCCAAATCTCTCCTCGCAGCATTTCAGCTGAGATCACCTAGCTCGTAGGTATCTGCATCTGTCTTATCACCGATGTTTGTATTTTCAATAAAATATTCGAATGCACCTGGGAAAAAATCCTGGAGAGATAACACCAAATTCATATGTGTTACTGGAGTTAATTAATTCATTTTTTTAAAAGCACACCATCCTGTCACATAGAAGACACCCAAACATGTTTCATAAATGAACGTTTATTCTTTGTTTTAGAGACTATATTTAGGATAGGAAATGATTCTAAACTGCATACTAAACCTATATTCTCTGTTAGCACGTAAGTTGTGAAGACCTGGCCCAAAAGGTCTGATTTTCCCCTTTAAAACTTGGGTTTCGAGCCCCTCCGACCGGTCGGTCCCCTAGGTCAGTAGGCACAGCGTGGGGGCGGGGGGGGGGTTGTCGATGTTTTAATAACCAATCGCTGCGGGGCCAAGGGGCGGAGCCACAGCGCCCCGCCCCCTCCTCCAAGCACCCTCCCCGCCCTCACAGGTCCGGCCTCCTTCGCACCTGCGTGTCCGCCGGCGCACTGGCTGTGCCACCGCTCCCTCCTGCACTAGCGGGAAAGGCGTTTGGCCTCACCTCTCGCGAGATCGCCTGGTGCCGCTGCGGCCGCTGCTCCGGGGCGCTGACTGGCGGCGTCTGCGCAGCCGCCATGTTCGGTTGCTATGCTGTGGCCCGGGAGACGGAGTGTGCTTGAGGGAGGAGGAGGAGACCTGGGAGGAGGAAGAGGGGGAGGAGGCGAGGGAGGCGGGAGACCGAGCGCCTCTCGCATTCGCACTCAGTAGCGCAGCCCGAGAGTACCCGCTCGCTCACGCCGCGCCGCGCGCTTTTCCGCTCCTTACGGCCCCCCATTGTTCTCCCAGGACGCCTGGGTCCCCGGGGTGGAACTCGGGCCTGAGCCGGGGAGGGGAGAAACTTGGCTTTGGCCGAGGGTCGGCGGTTGGGGGCCGGGCCCCTCCCGGGGCTCCCCTCCCCCACGGCACTTTTGGGGGGTGCGGATTAGGTCATCCCCGCAGGGAGGTGGGAGCGCGCACTCCGGTCTCCCGGCGGCGCCGGCCCGCGCGCGGCAGCCCCGCAGGATGAGGTGGTGCCGGCCGCTCCCGGCCCTGGCGCGGCCGCTGCGGCGGCGGGTGCTGGGGGGGCGCTGAGGGAGCCCCCGGCGCGGCGCGCGGACGCGCTTCTCCCCGCCGCCGGGCCGCGAGGCTTTTCTCCAGCCGGGAGGACGCGGCTGTGACTCGAAGGTAAGAGGCTCTCGGGTGTCGTGCGCGAGGCTGTTACCTGGGGCGAGTGTGGCTCTTGGGAAGCGAGCCAGGTAGGGCCATCCCGAGGTGCCAGGTTAATTTAAAAGGCAGGGGAAAGGGGGCCCCCGGCCCCCCGCAGCATGCAGCCCTCCTTCCGGTAGGTACCTCTGCTCTCGGCCCCCGGGGTAAGAGTTGAGATCTGTGACAGGTGAGCGGAACAAGGGATGGGATGGGTGCGCCACGGGACCCAAACTCCAAGGAAGGTTTTAGAATCTTCTGAGTTTTACAGCGCTGATAGGAGGCCCCCTTTTATTTTATTTTATTTTTTTGATTGGCTCACATGAGCGCGGCTTGCAGGCTGCATAGACGGACTCCCTACGGTTGAAGTTTGTAAGTTTCATGATCCTACCGGTATATACTTGCATTTAAGAATCTGTAGTTGGGGGGGGGGGGGGGAAGTTGAGATGTAGCTAAAGAGACGTGCCGATGCATTTCGCAGCGGTTCCTTAAAATGGAACAGCTTACAATTGAGCAGATAATGTTTGCATGTTTCTGAGAAACTTAGGATGGGATTGGGGTTGCATTATTTAGGGGCACCACTGCGATCTGCACCAGGACCATCTGTAGGATTTTCAAGCCCTTGTTCTAGGAGACCCTGTACATATATACTATGCCAACTGCTTTTCGAATCAGGAAATTTGAATGCTAATAGATTTATGTGACCAGATTTTAGACCCAGTTAAAACAATGCAGTTTAAAACATGTTTGGGGGTGGAGGGACCCCGGAAAACCAATGTATTCTTCTTGTAAAAGACGGTTTAAGTAGAAAGGAAGACTGGCCTTTTTTTTTTTTTTTTTTTTTTTTTTAAATCCTGATTTTGGATCCTTAAGGAGCCTGAGAAAAAATTATTCTTTTTTTTTTTTTTTTTAAATCCTGATTTTGGATCCTTAAGGAGCCTGAGAAAAAATTATTCTTTTTTTTTTTTTTTTTTAAAGCGGGGAGGAGACAACCTTAAAATAAATGATTATTCAGAGCCCAAAGTGTGCTTAATGGGAGGTAGATAGGTATATCAGTTACATCTTGAATTTGATGAATATAAATTCAACCTATAAATTTAAAAAAAGACTTTATAAGCAAATGTTTGTGTATTTGTACAGAATGTCTTTACTAACTCGTAATAAAAGAGTGCAATCATTTTGTGGACCCCACCATTTTTGGTCAGAATAAATTCGTGCTCCAATTTACCACAAAAAACTCTCTTTCTTCTTTTTTTTTAATGGCACACATATCTTTGTTACTGTTTTTGCACTGAAACATATGTGTGGTCCCATAATATGATCTTGAGTGGTTTATAAGAAGAGAAACATGTTTTTGTTTTTGTACATGGGGATATTTGTTATTTAGCTCATCTATTTTAAACATTTGGCAAAAGATTTTGAAAACACAAGGAGCCACTATTTTGTAGTTTGTAAATAATATCGAGTAGTTTAAAGTTTATTAAGATAGAAAAATCACAGGTTCCTCAAAAGCAGCAATGAATGAGCATATGCCTTCCTTATTGCTTATTTTCTAACCTGCTTAGCTTGTAGGTATTGAATTGTTTCAGACTTTTTTCTTGTGTTCTAATTGAATATCTTCAAATGTTCCTAGTAACTTTGTTACTTTAAATTTGTGACACCCAATTTCTAATTTAGGCTAGGCATAAAACCAGCATTGATTGAACACACTTGCTAAAAATACTTTCTGGGTCAGATGTATTCAGAATGCAGCCTCAGGAAAATTCATTGGAACTATTCTACCGTGACCAATGTACACTTCATTATTATTGAAGGATTTAAAAAAAACTGTAGACTCTTACACAGGTTGTATAACTTCAGGCATAGAAGCCTTTTTTTCCTCTTAATGTATAAAATACCTTATGTGGGATAGTAATAAAAACCTAAATAATTTTCTTAAATATGTGTGAACCCCCATGGATTATTAAACTCTGTGATTTGTATATTAAACATCTTTTAGTTTTGTCTACTAAACATAATTTGAGCTGTAAAGGACAGTACAGTATGCGGTGCTATCTACTTCCTATTTATGACATTCTAAATTCTATAAGGGATCAGTGGTTTTTAGTAATCTTTAAGGAGCAAGATAAGAGACTGCCAGATAATTTCAAGGCGATGCTGTTACTGACTTTTGTTGAGAGGACTTTTTTTTCCCCCTCTGAGAGTTAATATGGTCAGTTTTAAATAACAAAGTTTTAAAAAATATGTAGAAATTTTGTTTGGTAGAAGTTTGGTGGAAATTTGGTGGAAGTTAAGACATATGTTTAAAAGTTCTGCTTTAATTCTTTATGTTATTAGGAATATAAAATTGGTAATCTCATTAGAAACGGCAAGTTATGTGACTTTAGCTAAATATGAATTGTTCCCTCTAAATAAAATATAGTATTGGCAGAAATTTACTGGTTATAAACTGAGTTGAATTTTGTTGTTTTTCTGGGTTAATAACATGCATGTTGTAAAGTTTTTTATATGCTGTAGTCTAGTTTTGTTAAATTTGTCAGTTCACTAGATTAAGCTGTGAAGCCTTGAATACTGGTTTAGCATTCTGGAGATCCTTTCCCCCTCCCGGAAAGTAGTACTGTAGGGGGAAAGTGTTATTTCTTCATTTAACATCCAGTTATTAGTACAGATGGTGCGAAGTAGAAATGTTGTAGAATCGACTTTATTGGTGTAGAATTACATTACTTATGAACAGTGTAATATATTTTCCTTTGTATGATCAGTCAGTATAGTGATATTTAAAATAGGATGGAAAACAGAGGGGCAATTTATTCCATTCTCTTCCACTTTATTAGAGGCATTTCCCTCTACATTCATTCTTAATTTCATTATTCCTAAATAGAAGCACTGGAAGAGAGATGCAAGTATTTGAAGAAATTGGCAGGAACAGAAGAAAATTAGGTACTGTGGATTATCTTGAAGGGAAGGAAGATACTAATTTGGGTGAGTTGTTGTGTTTGTATCTTTTAACAAGGAGGGTTATATTGAGGAGTAGGGGGAAAAAAGGATCCAGAAGGGAAGTGTTTATTGTCTTTTATGTGCCAGACAGTATAAAGGGGCTTTTCGTGTTATCCCACATAATCTTCAAGTACACTTTGTGAGGAAGGTATTAATAATCTCCTGCTTTTCCCTTCTCCTCCCCAAATCAGGGCAAGAAGAAATTAATTTGTCTAGGATCACACTGCTAGTAAGTAGGATTCAAATTAGGTCTGTCTGGCTCTGAAGCTTATTCTTTAGATCATGGTGCCAGGTGAACTTTCTGCAGTGATGGAAGTACAGTAAGTCTAAGTCCTCACTTAAAGTCATAGATTGCTTCTGTGACTTTAAGGAAAATGATGTATAATGAAACCAATTTTACCATAGGCGAACTGATATAAAAACGGGTAAAGTTCTTAAGGCATCTCATCAACAAAACAGCATTAAACTAAACGACGTTATTCTTTTTTCTGCACTGTCAGATGTGGTAGCCATGTGCAGTATGGAACACTCAAAAATGTGACTATTGTGCCTGAGGAACTGAATTTAAAATTGTATTTAATTTTGGCCCTGGCAGGGCAGCTCAGTTGGTTAGAGTGATGTCTGATACACCAGGGTTGCGATCCGGATCAGGGCACATAAAAGAGTCAACCAGTGAATGCATAAATAAGTGGAACAACAAATCAATGTCTGTCTGTCTGTCTGTCTGTCTCTCTCCCCCTTAGTCTCTCTAAAAATCAATTATAAATTTAAAACATTTGTATTTAATTTAAACCAGTTTAAATTTAAATAACCAGATGTTGCTAGTAGCTACAATATTGGACAGCACAGCTTTAGATCTTACTGCCTAGAAAATCTGAGTTTTAATTTTTTAATATTGAATCTTTTAGCTGTATATGACATTAGGCAAGTTATTTAGTTCTTGAGCATCAATTTAATTCATTTTGAAAATGAAGAGGTGATCACTAAAAGGTTATCTCCAGCATCCTTCTTGCTCTAAACTTATACTTCCTCTGTCCCATAATGATAGTAGCAGTTGATGAATGTAATTTGTCCCATAATAATAGTAGCAAAAGAAAATAAATATAGAATGCAACATTTATTATCAAAAAAGTAGATTAAATTAAACAATAAATTAAAAATAGTACTCCTAATTTTTATTTTGAGTGTTCAGATAGTTTCTGGATTTTTCAACAATTTCGTTACTGCATTTTAAACTTGTAGGTAGGATCCCTTGGCTGCAAAGCTTTGCTTTCCCTGTCTGCGTGAGCTTAAAAGTTATTGGAGCCGTCGTTCTTCATTGCTTCCAGCATAACTTGTTGAAGTGACAGAAACGTATTATCCAGTATTTCGGGAGAAATATTATCAAAGGCTAATATGGTGCCTCTTCTGCTAAGAGGAATATGTCTAAGTTTTTTAAATTTTTCTCCATAATCTTTGCATTTACGTCCACAGTTTTGTTTTTTCAAAGAATCAACATTAGCATAAGATTCTCCTTGACAATTATTTTCGGAAACACGTTTCCAAATCCTTGATATGGTCATTCTGTTGCACTTAAATTGTTTTGCAGCTAACGTAATTGCACCTTTCTGCAACTTTTCCTTTTTCTATTGATGCATCAATAACTGGACAATTGCAACTCGATCTTTGCTTGAAAACTTTTTCATCTTTTACAATGGGTTGATATTCAACAGAAATAAAACAATTGATTTCGATCAGCGGATAAAATTAGAAAAATAGTTATAATTCGTAATAATTAGATTAACCTAAAAATTGAAAGATGTGTCAAAACAAATGACAGATGTCATGAAACATTGATTTTGATCGAAGGTTTCATAATTTTGCGCTACAACATAACTTACAGCTGCATTCGCCAATAATTCCCGTTTAAATATTCACTTGCTACTATTATTATGGGACAGAGGGAGTATGATTCTTATTAAAATGTACAGTGGCATTTAATATTCACAAACATATCTGAAAGTCCTTCCTCCCCAATATACTCACCCATTATATAAAGACTAGAGGCCCTATGCACGAAATTCATGCAAGAGTAGGCCTTCCTTCCCCCGGCTGCCGGCACCAGCTTCCCTCTGGCACCTGGGACCTGGGCTTCCCTCCAGCCACAGGCAGGCACCTGGGACCTGGGCTTCCCTCACAGCCCTGGCTTCATGAAGAAGGTTGGCCGGAATGATGTCTGGTCTAATTAGCATATTATGGTTTTATTATTATGGATTTTTATTGTTTAGTCAGTTTCTCTTTTTTACCAGAGTACGTATAAAAGATAATGGATTATTCCTCTCCATCCCCAGTTGTTTGGTGAAACACTGTGTAACCAAAGGCAGTACCTTGGAACAAAGTTTGGATCTTTAAAGACCATATTTCAGCATGCTACCTTCCCATTTAAGAATATGGTATAGTTCTCTGTTGCTTATCAGATTAATCCCAAACTTATCTGCTTGGCCTTGAAGGCTTTCCACCAACTTCATCTCACCCTGTTTCTCCTTCTTGCTTAAAAAGAAAACATTTTTGTTTTTTCCTTTGCCCTTGATTCCTCAGTTTAAACATTCCTACCTGTCTCCAATCCATATGTCTTCTCTTCAAGTATTCCTCAAAATTCACCTTTTTCTGGAAGAATGCTGTTTAATCCAGTCATAATGACTAGATTTTGAATCCTGGTAATAAGCACCTTGGGGTTAATATGTGATTGTTTAGATATTTCAATTGAGTACATCCTTCTTAAGTTTTTATGTTACCTACTCTGTCTTTAATGAAAATGTAAAAAAATTAAAATTGGGGATTGTTTCTTTTGTTTTGCCTCATGAGTTTAGTCTATTGTTTATCAATTCTGCTTTAAAAAGTTGCTAATTTTTAAAAAGGATAATTAGTGTAACAACATTCACCCTTAATCACCACTCTAATAGATGTTTTTGTTTCCTTCCAGGCAGTTGTCCATATTTTTAAAAATAAAGGTGTGTGGTAGAGATATAATTTGAGTTTAATATACTGGAAATATTATATATCAGGGGCAATGTAATGTAGGGAAAAGCTGACACACTTTGGAGTTAGATCTGGGTTGGAATCTGGTCTCAAAATCCTTGGGCAAATTATATAACCTCTGAGCTTACTTCCTTAACTATGAAATTAGGATAATACTTGGCCTTGAATTGTTGTGAGGATTAAGGTACTCTATATAAAACATCTGGCACTATTTTTTTAAAAATAAAAGAGATCAGTAGAGTAGCAGATAACATTTCTTCTCATTTTTCCGTTCCCATTGTCATAACTTGAACAGTTGCTTCGACATTTCACATGATTTATTGATCAGGTGATTGATTTAGTCATTTACCTTTTGTTAAACATTTTGGTTATTTCTAAAGCTTCCAATGTTATAATCTGCATTGAATATATTTGTGCTTGTTTGTTTCCTCAGTCTAAAACCCTAGGACTGGGAAAGGGGTCCAGTGGTATGAATATTTCTATGACAAATATTTCTTTTATAAAACAATGGGTGTTCTTGCTTTGGAAAAATGCTAATGCTAATTTGGTTGTAAAATTGTACCTCATTGTTTTAATTAATGTATTCTGAAAAATTGGTTGCCCTTGCCTGTGTGGCTCAGTTAGAGCATCGTCCCATCACAGAAAGGTCACGAGTTTCATTCCTGGTCAGGGCACATACCCAAGTTCCAGGTTTGATTCCCCAGGCCAGGTGCATGAGAGAGGCAATCAGTGAATGTTTCACTCTCAAATTGATGTTTTTTCTCTCTCTCTCTCTTTCCCTTCCTCTCTCTCTCAAATCAATAAAAAAGCATGTCCTTGGGTGAGGATTAAAAAAAAAAAAAGAAAGTAAAATATTTGGCTTATTGGTGAATTATGTAGTGAACATTTATATATAACTCGAGGCCCGATGCACGAAATTCATGCACTGGGGAGGGGGGGGGGATCCTCAGCCCGGATTGGGAGAGGGGGCCGGCCAGGCCAAGGGACCCCACCAGTGCATGATTAGGGCTGGAAAGGGAAGCGGGAGGTTGGCCAGCCAGGGAGGGTCCATGGGAGAGCTCCAGGGCCTGTCTGGCCCGTCTTGCTCAGTCCTGATGGGCCAGACCTCAGCAGCAAGATAACCTACCAGTCAGAGCGTATGCCCCCAGGTGGTCAGTGCATGTCATAGTGACTGGTTGACTGTCTTCCCCCTGGTGGTCAGTGCACGTCATAGCGAGTGGTTGAGCAGCCTTAGCATATCATTAGCATATTATGCTTTGATTGGTTGAATGGCCGACCAGACACTTAGCATATTAGGCTTTTATTATATAGCATGTTAATTAAACATTTGAATGTCTATTATAGGGATCAATGATAAACATGATTTTGCCCTTGAGCTCAAATTCTAGGTGGTAACACATGTCAACAAACAATTACAATTCAGAGTGACAGGTGTAATAAGATGTGGGGGAAGCAGCAGTAGCATTTGAGCAGTGTCTTGGAGGATGAGTTGGACTTGATCTGGATAGAGAGAACAGCATGTACAAAAAGTCAGAAGTATAAAAGGATGCATAGTGTGGAGAAATGCAAGTTTTCTTGTACATGTCTGTCTCTGTCTGTGGGATGGGTATTGGTATCTGATTTTGTGTGTGAATCTGTGTGCATGTATGTGTGTGTTAACTATGGTAGGAGAGGAAAGGTTGTGAGGCTCCTTGTTTGGGTGATGAGTGGGATCATATTAAGACCTTTAGAACAGAGCTTTCCAACTAGCTGGTAGGCCATGAATGGTTTACCATTAATGCTAAGAGCAAGATGCCTGTCAGTCTAAGGGACTGGGCATATTGGAGCCCCCCCAGATGGTTTCTTTTGACCTTGAATCATCTCCTTTGCTTGTCCCAGTGTGCTGAAAGCATTTTTTCTTTGATGCCAAGTTGGGCAAAGGATTGGTAAAAGCACTGTTTTAGAGGCTATAAGTATTGGAAAGTTTA